GTTCAGGGTAGTATCTAGTCGAGCGCTCTCGACTAGAGTTTTCTTACTTGTTAAAGATATACTCGACATCCGCGCTGTATATACGCTCATTTAAAAAAAAATCAAGTCTCTAGCTATTATATCTTCTGAAATCGACGCGCTCAAACATACGGACAGATGGACGGACGGACGGAGCAAAATTTTACCCGCACGCAAAAGCGACAAAATTTTTGCAACCTGCCCGCCCGAAAATTTTTGTTGTTTTTAATTTTAATGAAAAATACTATTTTTATGCTTATATTTATTAATAATAGAAATGATATAAAAAAACACTAACTTACAAATTAGTAACATATCGAGATTTGTGCTTGACAATTTTGTGCACCTCTCATCACCTGATGACGGAAAAACCCACAGGGATGCAAAAAATATATAAATCTATCGCACTTCACGAGCTCCATCGATACTATCGATCGAGCATTTACGAAGTGGTCTGGCAACTAATGATCGAAAAAAAGTGTGCAAAATGCTTTAAACTACGTGTCCGGTCTATATGTTCTCCGGTTAGTGGTATAATTTAATTTTGTTTAAAAAAAAACATTTTTCGATGTTTCATCGATACATCGGTGTTTTTGATCGTACATCGATGACTCTCCAGCACTCCTAGAACATTTTTGCTAACACATTGTTTGGTCACATAGTTTTACGACTGAAGAGAAAAAAGAAAATGCGTAGAGCATTTCGTTCTCCACCTGTTGACTCAGTTTCGTACTCAAATTTGGTAATAACTCAAACCTACTTACGTTAAAGTGTTTATACGCTATATTTGTTCTATATTTTCTTATTACTTTTACATTTCCATAACAATTGGTAAGCGCATTTGTATACGCAGAGCCAAAAAAAATCGATGCCACAATGAAGCGTAATTTTTAATTAGAGAATGGGTTGTTTTCATATTTATTGCAGGTGGGATTTATTTTCATATTCAATCTTATTGTCGGAACTGGAGCGCTAACTCTACCAGGAGTATTTGCGAAATCAGGATGGTGTCTAAGCTCTGTTGTGATAATATTATTAGCTCTTGTAAGCTACATCACAGTAACATTTGTTATCGAAGCCATGGCTGGTGCGAATGCGATAAAAATTTGGCAGAGTCTTCAAGCTTTACGTTACAAGCGCAATTCAAATGAAGAAGAAAATGAATTATATTCGAATACAGAAAGCGAAACCGTACCCTTGACAATTCAGAATATGCAATTTCATTACTATCAACTGACACAAAAGTTTGAATTCGGTGAAATGGCAAAATTATTTTTTAATGATTGCGGGTGTACATTGTTTTACCTATGCTTTATAATTTACCTATATGGAGACTTGACCATATATTCCGCAGTGGTGGCTAAAACTTTGCGTGATGTGCTGTGGTAAGACTATTTAACTATAAACTTTACGCCCGTCCGTCTGTCCGTATGTTTGAACGCGTCGATTTCAGAAGATATAAGAGC